TGCTGGCAGATAAAGTCTGCTGACTGTCCCATGGGTGACAGTGGAGAAAGGGCTCTGGGGCCTTTGATTTTTAAAATACTTCATTAAAAGCAGCTTGAGACATTAAAATCTTCCGGGTCCCAGCTGGGATCAGTGCAGGATGGCAGAGGTGTCCCCAGCCTGGGGAACAGGAAGTCAGGGCGCAGGCATGTGTGTCTGGGGCAGGGGTGGTTCATAAGGAAGGAGGCTGAGGTCGACAGCTCTGTGGACACTGAACATGCCCACTGCAGCCTGGGCCTCAGTTTTCTCACATCCAGTCCCCAGGAGTGAGCTCCAAAGACCCTCTTGTCTCCAGCTCCCCTTCCACCAGGGACAGGCTTCTCGCTGCCCAGGCCAGGGACAGACGCAGAGGGTGTGAGTCAGTGGCCGCCCACAGACCCGGGCCGTCACAAGGACAGCCTGTCCCTGTTCTTATCCCTGGCCCATGCGATTCCAAACTGAGGTCACTTTCCAGACAGCACGCGTGACTCCCTGTCACACCTGGGGAAGCCAGGCTCCTTGAGGGGAGCAAGAGAGGAGCAGATAGTTTTACTTTCTTCTGCTTGGAAGAAGCACATATACAATGGCTTCTAGCTTCAGGGGTTGAGGGGCCCACTGATCCTAGGAGCTTGTGAAATTCAGGATGGATATGTGCCTTATCGAAGGAAGGAGGAAAAGAAGGGAGAAGAAGGGGAGGAGGAAGAGAAGGAAGAGGAGGAGGAAGAAGAGGAACAGAAAGGGGAGAAAGCAAGGAGGAGGAGGAGGTATGCATGAGGCAGGGGAAAATAAATATTAAGAAAAAACTTTATCTGATAGAAACAAGAAGCCTTAGTCACAGGACCCAAGTCTCACTCAGCTCCTTTTCAGCAGTGTGATAAAGGACATTTCCTCCCAAGAGCCCCACCTTACTTGGAGCTACTTGGGGTTGGACCACAGCTGGGAAAGGGTCCAGTGTTGCTCCTCAGAGGCCCCTGGACCTGCTGCCACCAGAAATGCAGTCGAAGCCGCACCCCAGGCCTGAGGGATCAGCATCTGCGCGTCAGCACTGTCCCCGGGGGCTGGTGCGCACATCCGTCTGTGAGCCCCAAGAGAGCCAGAAAAGCTCGGACAGGCTTCCCCGCCCACTGGATGAGCATCAGCACACCCAGCTCCTGCGGAGCCCTGGCACCAGCTCAGCTGTCTCCACCTCTCGGGGACAGGTTTCAGCACTCTGCTCTTCCCCGCCCTAAATCCCGGCAGCCAGGTTAACGTTGTCACCAGGTGCGTAGGCAGCCAGCAATCACTCCACGCGCCTGTAACGGGAAGAAGCTGTGGGCCAAGACCCCCGGGCAATGCGCTGGGAAGAGCCCAGGCCTCAGCATGGGGTGCGGCGGATCATCTGCCACGGATTCCCTCTGCCTGCGCCATAAAGCGTGACTTGAACACAGGCAAAAATCAATAGCAGCAACAACAATTATCACTTCCTAATGCTTACCATGTGTGGAACACCAGGCAGGAGCTTGGGCCGCGTTATCTCATGTAATCCACGCAGTGATCCTGGGGAGGAAGCACTGTATTAGTCTTCCCATTTCCCAAGCGGGGTGGTGGCAGGGGGGACTGAGGCACTGAGCAGCTAAGTGACCTGCTCAAGTTCACACAGCAGCTGGATGGAGAATCAGGACAGAACCTCAGCCCCAGAGTCCAGATGCTTAGGCACAGACAAGACAGACCCCAACTTAGAGGTCCAAGAGGATGTGGGCAGAGCTGACCTTTGTGCATTTCTTTTTTCACCTGCCCAATGTTAAAAATGCTTGTTGAGCCAATATTTTAAAATTTCACCTATGGCCTATAGTTCTGGCTTCCCTTGGAAAATCACGATGCTGTTGGCATTGCAGGGCTGTGGTAAGACAAGGTCCTCTGAGAGGAAGTCACTGCCACTACCTGGCCTCGTCGGTCATTTCCGTTGGACACTCTGACATTAATGATGATAATAACAACCAACACTGTTCAGTGCTAGTTCTGTGCCAAGCACAATGCTACAAGAGGAAAGGAATGGATAGATCGTGGACTCAGGTGCATTTTGGACATCAGAACCCTCCCCATGTGCTCAAGGATTCATCCAGCAGCAGTTTAAATTCCTCTGGGCATGAGCCACTCACTACCTCTCCAGGGTAGTGATACCTCGATGATACCATTGGGAGTGTTGAAAATTCCCCTTCCTCTATACACGAGCCCTGCTCCCTCCACTTCCAGATGGGGATGGGACGACCTGAGGTCGGTCCTTCTGGAGATTTGAGTTGTCTCGGCTGGAGCCAGGAGGCAGGTGGAGAGGCTCCTTCCAGGGCTGTGACAGTTTCTGCAGAGGGGAAGGGGTACTTCTCACCCAGCCCCCTTCCATCAGGTCCAGGGCACCTCTCAGCCCGGATCGGTGAGCCAGACCCTGGGAGGTGGTTCTCCAGGTCCGGGGTTGGTCTCTTTCTTTATGGCTCCTCCTCTCTTCTGCTTTGTAAACTTTAAATAAAGGTAAACTTTATTCTGTAGACACTACTTCCCGCTCTCTTCTTTCAGGCCCTGGACCCCCATTTCTGCTGTATTATGCATTCTCTTATCCATGGACATTGTCTGTCTCTGCCCACATGTTCCCTTTAAGTCATACTCTAACCCCGCTGCTTCCATGTTCATCTTTGCTTTGTCCCCACGGTGCAGGCTGCCCACATTTCTCTACACACATCCAGCCAGTGCACCAGCAGCAAAGGAAAAGTCTATGCCACTTTTAATGCACCCATAGACTTCTGATAATAGGCTTTGATATTTAAAAGTGTCTTGTGGTGCCCTTGATGGTTCTGTCACTCATTCACTCAGTACACCTTCTTTCTCTAACCTTCTCTTCACACATGGTTTCAGATCCCAAAATAATGCTGCCAAGTCTCGCACTGGAACCCCCAGCCCAGCCTGTCTGCATGGTCAGGGAGCCATTGTAGGCTGGGCTTCTCCATCTCCCCCCATCCTATGCCACATGGGACTCATTGTCTTTCTTCCAAACCTGGCCTTGCCATCCTTTCATCTTTGGCTCAGCGAATCGCACCATTTCCCCTCCAACTGTCTACACCACACACCTGGGCTCATCTATCCCCTTCCTTGCTTCCCAAGTCCAGTCAGTCATCGGCTTCTTCCATAGCCCCTCAGACACGACTCAGACGAATCTCACCTCCACTGCCAATAGGAATGAGCATTGAAAGAATGAGCTGACCTAGATCACTAAGACTTTCAGCATCTCCTTTGGGTGCCATTTAAATCAGTGCCAGTGAGGTCACACAGCCTCCTCTTTTGCTTTTATCTTTTTTTGCATGCTGTGGGCAGGGCCATCTTACCAAAGTGGAAGTCGGCTGGGCTCTGCCACGCTCAGATACCTTCAGTGGTTCCCGCCTGCCTTTAGGCCACGGCCCAACCGTCTCAACTCAGCATTCAAGACCTCCACACACTGCTTCCTGCTTCAGCCTCAGCCTCGCCGTCTTGCTGCCTGACACTCTGAGCTTCGGCAGCATAGAATGACTTGCAGTTTTCTGCACACATTGTTCCACCTGGCTGGAGCACCTTTCCTTCTTCCTGTCTGTTCCAACACCTTCTTAGAAATTTCCTGAAGTAGCTCTCCCTCCTAGAAACACATGCAACTTTTCTGCTTAAATATTACAAAGACACCATTCTGCTTGCCATGGCTAAGCAGCCTTAGGGCTATTAGTGTCCCTGACTACTCTGAGACGAAAACCACCACTGTAGCTAGGCGTGGTGGCCACATGTACAATCCCAACACTCTGGGAGGCTGAGGCAGGAAGATGGCCAGTCTGAGCCCTGTGTCCGCAAGTTTGTAACTGAGTGAAACTGTCTAAAAGTTTAAAAATAACCTTTAAAAAGGGCTGGAAATACAGCTTAGTGCAAAGGCCCTGGGTTCAATCCCCAGTACTACAAAAAGAAAACAAAAACAAAAGCAAAAACAAAAACTGCGAGCCATTGTTAAGTTGCTCTCAGTTTTTTTTCCCCCACTATAAATGGTGCTCATTTATCTGGGTGACAAGCTATAATTACTCCACACTTGGAATGATTTCCAAGGCAGAGCTGCTGGGCAGAATCATGTCTTAGGTTAGATATTTTGCCAACTCTCTTTTCCAAAAAGGTAGGGACACCTGTACTGTAAGTAAATTCATGATTGCTTCTAAAATGAGGCCTCCCTCCAGGGCTCCTTGGGGGGCAGGAAGAGGAGTTAAGTGTGCTGTTGGCAGCGGTGCTGAGTTACTATTTTGAAATACCAAACCCCCTGGAGGAAGGAATTGGATCTCCGAGTAAAGAGAAGCGAAATGGTTTTAAAATGGAACCCGGGCAATTTCAGGGCGTAAAATGAAAAGGAAGATGGTTAAAGACCAAAATGAGTGGTCAGTTGAATCCAGACTCATTGGGAAAACGAGATCCATTTTATTGCATGGAAGGGACACATCTCAAAGGGTGCAGCGCATGGGAGGAGGAACTGATTTGGCCAGGATCGAATTTCCCTCAGATTCATGACTGGGGCTCTCTGGCAGCCCCCAGACCCATATCGTCTGAATTCACTTACCCAGAGCAAAATCCAACTGAAAGTAAAAAGAGACTTTAAAACACTTATTTTAAAGATCCTCGCAAGGTGTTTTGGACATCAAATAGCTCTTAAAAACTATGGCATACTTTCATGATTTAAGTGTAAATGATTCTGAAACATATGGCTTACATTTTCTTCGAATTCCTCCTGGTTTTAAAAGTGAAAGGCAGCCGAGGCAAAGAAACTGTAGATCGCCCTGACTGTTTAGAGATTCAACCCGTAGGCAAACCTGGTGAACTCTGGGGCTGGGAGGCAAGTTGGCTCGATTTCTGGGGAGGACAGAGTTAGGAGGCCCTCGTAAGAGGGCTGTGCTATTTAAATCCTAAAGTGATCTTTGATTTGGGGGTTCTGGGACCAAAAGCAACAGTTTCAAAGCTCTGGTTAGTAAGACAAAATCTCCTAAGCTTCTAGTGGGAAGTACAGATGCCAAGACTGATTCTCAGCCCTTCTGCAGCCAGACCTCCTCCATGGGGAGGCCCAGAATCTGTGTTTCTAGCAGGCTCCTTAAGATACCAGGTTGGGGACTACCAGCTGAGACCAGCCTTGGTCAACTTCCCTCTGTGGACATTTGGGGCACCGTGGGAACTCTCCCATGCATTGTCCTGGGGTTCTGCAGCATCCCCGACCTCTGCCTACAGTTTCCAAGAGCACACGCTACCCCCCACGTTGTGACAACCGAAAGTATATCGAAATCTTACTCATTGTCTTCTGGGGAGAAAAACAGCGCAGGTTGAGAACCACTGGCATAGGTGAGTTTAAAATGACCAGACACTCAGAAACTCACACACGTATGTGGGTGGGTGCATGTGTGTGTGCGCACGTGTGTGTGTGTTTCTGCTAAGTGTGAGTTGGTGGGTACATTATAAATGGACTGGAAAGTCAGGGAGCCAATGACAACATGACACATGTGGGCATCTCTCATGCCCCCCAAGGGTCTTCCATTCTCACATTTCTTGTGTGGGCACATTGGTTCTTGTCCTCCATCCCCCCGCATCATACAGAAGTACACTGCTGTCCTACCGTCCTCCAGGCTGCTTGGTGACTGGGTACCCATGGATCCTGTGACTTTTAAAAACAATTTTCTGTACTGAGGATTAAAGCCAGAGGGTGCCGAGCTACAACCCAAACCCGTTTTATTTTTGTATGTTGCGGCCAGGTCTTAGTGAGTTGCCCAGGCTGACCTCAGATTCAGGGATCCTCCCAGTGTCAGAATCACCAGGTCTCAAGTTGAGTCCCAGCCCTGTCGCTTCCTGCTCTGAGCTCCGCTTCCTCCACCAGACAGCAGGCACAGAAAATACATGCACCTCAGTTTCCCCGACTATGAACGGGCTCATCTGGTCATACGTGCTTTATAGATCTGTCAAGAGTCGATGAGTGGATGCAGGGAAGGGCTCAGTGTCTGTGCTGGGTCTTCAGGAACACGAGAAACGTGAGCTCATTTCACTGCCTCGTAGGCTGGGAGACGTGGTTTAGAAGCTCATCTGTCCCTTCCTCGGCTCTCCTTCCCTTTCTACCTCTGTTCTGCCTGCTCACCACACACCGGGAACAGAATCCAGAGCCCAGCGTGCCTGAAAGCCAGGACACCCTGGCCAGGGGCTCAAGATCCACTAAGAGTTAATCCCCGGAGAACCAGCAGCCCAATAAATTCTGCCCTGCCAAACTCACCCCAATCATCATTAGTCACGGCTTGTTGGACGGGAGGCTCCTCCTTGGCGCTTATCTCCCCGGCTTCTGTCCTCGGCCAGGCGGCCATATTTCACCTTCTGAAAACAGATGACCTCAGGGTCAGGGAAACAAAAGGCCCATTTCAACAGGTCAGCTCGGGACTCTGCTGGGGAGGAGGGTGAGGGTCAGTCTGGATGCTGTCCCTGCCTGGGCAGCCCTAAGGCGGGTGCTCCAGGTCAGGCCCCAGGGGCAGCCTAGGGCGATGATCACCCCAAGTCTTTGCCCTCTCTAAAGTGTCGGGCAGAGGTGGGGCCTGGAGGCCATATTTGCATAGTGACTCCTCCCATGATGCCTTGCAGCAGCCCTGTCCAGCTGGGACCCCAGAATGGGACTGCAGTGAGGGAATGGGCGGGACTCCTACCATTTCGGGCCTTACCCACCCACGAGGCTCAACATACTTTTGGGAATCCATCATGTTTTAAATTCTTTTCAGTGAAAAGGAAATAATGAAATGTTTGGGTGCCAGGAATGTTTAAAAAATTTTTTTTCTTGTATGGGAAAAAAATGAAATTCACAGAGTCCATGAAAACTGGTTAAATCTTGCCTATATGAAAAAGATAAAAACAAACTATTTCAGTATTTAATTACACTAAAGCAAGGATCGAGGGTGCTCTTATTATGGTCAGAGGGCCTCCAAAGCAAAGCACATAGGGTCTGAGAAAATCGTTCTGTAGCCCTGAGAAGGGGGAAATGCCATAGACATGGAGATAAACAGACCGGGTGTGATGTGTTCAGACCCACAGGTGCTATGAAGGGGATAAAGGAGGGTGACAGACCACACAGCAACAGGGACAAAAAGGACTTGAGAGGAAAATTATGTTCTTTTGGCTGGGTTGAATGTATACGGGTGAATGATGATCACAATGATAAAACGACAATAGTTAAATTTATCAGATATATATCAAATAACTTATTATATGCCAAGTGTTTGAGGTTTAAGAACGACAGTATCCTTTTTCATTTGTTATGTTTTGAAACCAAGTCTTACTAAATTGTCCAGGCTGGGCTTGGAATTGCAATCCTCCTGCCTCAGCCTCTCAAGCAGCTGAGATTAGAGGTGTGCACCACCACACCTAGCTGAAAATATGGCATTCCTTAAGTGTGACCTCTAACATCTGTACTTTTGTCCTTCTTACCCAGCATGCCAAGTACTGCACTAAATGTCACCCATGTCACTTATCATAGTGCGGACTCGCCAGAGGCTTGAACAGGGGACACAGGTGCAGGTGGTTCGTTGGGGAGGTGATCCTGTGTCTGGTCTGCCTCATCTGCTTGTGACACTCTTGTGAGAGCTCTACAAGATGGCGATGGTCAGGATCTGCCTTTTGAAGGTGAGGAAACTGAGGCACACATAGGTCAGAATGACTTGCCCAGGACCCCACAGCTGGCATGTGAGCTAGAACCCCTGCCTCTCCATGCTCTACAGCCTCCATTTCCAGGCACCCTGTAACCCATAGCCAGTGTTCCACTAGGCCCTGGAGCCGGACCTGCCGAATCCAACACGCCAGTGACTTCATGATGCTTCTCAGTTTCTCTGGACCTCAGTGTCCTCATCTTGTTGCCCCAGGGATTAAGCGATTTAATATTTGAAAAGAATTTAAGGCAGCTCTTGGTGTACACTAAATTCCTAATAAGCACAGGCTGTTATATTGAACCCAGTAGTTCCCGGAGTGGGGTCCCCAGACAGGCAGCATCAGCATCACCCAGAAATATATTTGAAACCTGTGTGCTCAGGCTGGTCCTTGGCCCTACGGATCTGAAGCCATGAAGGTGGGGCCTGGGATTTCTGTTCCAACAACCCACACATGTGTGATTCCACTGTGTGCTTACATTTTGAGCTGTTGTTTTCATACCCTCCCGGCCCTCACTCTGCCCAGAATGCGTCTGCCCCTGTTTTGCATGTGGTCACATAGCTTCTGCTCCAAAACATGACTGGAAGTACGAGAAGAAACTTGTCTACTGCTGTGTCCCACAGAGATGGGAGCTTCTCGCCTGGGTATTACAGTTGGCTTCTGGTTCCAATGCAGAGATTCCTAGAAAAGGTAAAGAGAAAAGCTATTTACAGGTTACACCTTCGTAAGAATGACCAGATGGGGCAAGGCGCAGCGAAAATGCCTGTAATCTCAGCATTTGGTAAGGTTGAGGTGGGAGGATTACAAGTTTGAGCTTGGGCAATTTAGTAACTTAGAAAAAATAAGTGAAGGGCCAGAGATGCTCAGTGCAAAGGCCCTGGGTCCATACTTGAACACTCAAAAGAATTAGTAGATGAGGTGAATCTTACTTGAGAACAGGTAAGTGTTATGGAGAATATGTTGGGGGTTCAAAATTTAAACAGTATGGGAACAAGATGAGACACACAGGAGAGTGGAGAATGTGGTTTAAAAAAAAAAGGTGGTAGAATGACATTAGCAGCAGACCTCAGCTACGTAACAATTTAGAAAACTGCGTTAATGAGACCATCCACATAAGTCAGGATGTAGACAAGAAAACAAAATGAAACACAGCAAAACACCCCAGGATTTTCACACAGGGAGAATTTAACACAAGGGACTGGTTACACACTTGATAAAAGAACTGAGAAGCCAGACGGAATGATGAGGTTACCTGGGTACTAGACGTATTGAGAAGCAGGTTCTGCCTTTAGGATTGAAGAAACAGGAAGAGGAAGTGGTATTAGCAGAAGCCAGAGCCATCCGGAAAGGGCTAGAACCATCACAAGGGCTGTTGATAGGAGCAGGGACTATGGAGAGGGGTGGGTTGTCTGGCGGGACCAGAGAAAGGAAAGCATGGATAGAAATACCCACGAGTCCCCTCTTCCCCTCCCTTTCTTGATAAGGATAAACCTATCCGGAGTGCAAAGGAGCCTGGGAAATGTAGTTCTCAGATACAAACCAGCCTGAGGAAAAGATAGGATTGGAAAGAACCTTAGCCTTCAATCCCTTCCTTCCTTTTTTTCTATATTGCTCCTCTTTCTCTTCCTTCATTCCCCACTTCCCCCTGCTTCTTTCTGTCCCTTCTCCCGATTTGCTGCCATCCACAATGATATGTAAGAGAATATTGATAAGCAGGAGGTTTATGGAGTTGAGAGTGTACCTCTGAGAGACAGGATAGTGGAAGGAAATCAACTGTCTGGGCTTCAGTCGCCAAAGATGAAGCGATAGCTAAAAGAGGAGCCAAGCCGAGAATAGTGGTGGACACCTGTAATGCCGGCACTCTCTGGAGCTGAGGCAGGAGGTTCACAAGTCTGAGTTCACCCTGGGCAACCTAGAGCTATCCTGTCACAAATTAAGAATTAAAAAATGGCTGAGGATGTAGCTCAGTGTGGGGGCCCAGGGTTCAATGCCCAGTAGTGAGGGGGAAAGAAAAAAGACAGCCCAGTCCTCTTAGGATGACAGAGCTTCCCAGTGAGGTCCTGCAGAGGCCCCTGGGCCAGCCCAGCCTGGCTTTCCTCAAAGGACGGTTTCTCTGATCTCTAAAGAATGATGAGACTGGATTTGTCCGGCTTCAGTCAGACAGTTCCATGGGGAGAACCGTGGCCCAGGGTTCACCATGAAAAATCTTCCCTGCAAATATTTCTTCTGGTGGGTGAGTGTGTATAATACAAAGTAAAAATTGCTCAGTGCCATCGGAAAACATGATTTTGCTACTTGATTTGCTACGGCTCCAGTCCACACAGTTGTAGTAATTAGTACCACAGATAGGGAGACAAATTTACTATGTGTACCGCATAGTTACATACAGCTGTGTGTGTGTGGCCCGCTGTCTCTGTGTGTAAATGTGCATGTGTGTGTGTGTGTGTGTGTGTGTGTGTCCAAGTGTGCATGTGCGCGTTAACAGAAGGAGGCTGCCCTTTTTTTGTTCATGACAAGAAGCTGCAAACAGCTGTTGTAAATTACTTGGAATGTCCAGCAACTTGCTGATTTGAGTCTGGCTTCCATCCTAAGCACTACCACTCCTCAGTGATATGCAGCTTGGGTTTAGCCACTTATGCATGCTCTCCCACAAATACTTACTGAGCATGTACTATGTGCCAGGAGCCATTCTAAATGCTGGGCTGCAGCCTCGAACCGGTGAGATCAGAAGGCTTCATCCCCAAGCCGCTGAGAGTCGAGTATTGTGTTTTATTTCTGGCTTGCAGCGCTGAGTACACAGAGAACTATGGCAACAGAGACTTTTGTTAGAGAAAGCCCGGCCAGAAGAGCCACTCTAGGATTGTAAGTGTACAACTCAAGAAGGACAAACAGAATCCTTTTTATGAGGCTATTTTGGCAAATACACGTGACCTGAAAACACACCGAGGCAGAACAGACTGAACACCTCATCCTAGGGCAGTGGAAAATACTGCGTTCGCTCCGTCCTACCCTTTTATGACACAGTCGAGCTGCTATATTCCTCAGATCTCAGAATCACTCTGGGGGACATGGCTCCCTTTGTGCTTTCCTCCTGGAGCGAGGGGCTGAGTCCCTTTGTAAGCAGCTGTCCTTGTCAGCCGGGAGGCACTCTGCCCATGTTCCCAGACATCAGCAGTGCCTGGTAACTTCCGCTCCCTGGGGGGCTGGGGGGAACAAAGAAGTCCTGGGTAGAACCCTCCGAACCAAGTTTGCAACCAGTTCCCAGGCGACGCCAAGGCTTCTGGTCTGGGGACCACAGCCTGAGGAGCAAGACATTAGGCAAAGCTTAGCGTGGGCTCGATAATCAGCAGGCGCTCAAAGACGATAGCCACGAGCCCTGGTATTGCTGCTGCCCTTCCTGGGGTTTTTGTGATACATTTCTCAGCCTCATTGCCCCTAAGTGACAGGAATCTGGCGAGTACCTGGCAAGATGTGGGAAATAAGAGCTATAGGTGCAAATCAGGAATCCAAAACAAGGTACCCCAGCTGCCCTTGCTTTCCCCCTTTGATGATGACAACAGCGACTGCTGACTGAACACCACCTGGCCTGGATCCAGAAGCCTGATGTCGGAGGCTGGCTGCCATCGTCCTGCTGACCCTCCAGTCTTCGCCGCAGCAGGAGTTGCCAGTGGTTGCAGTGGCACGCAGTGTGGCCGTCTTGCTGGTCCTTGCCATCAGAACAGGTGGCAGCTCCCTTTGTTCTGGGGTTACAGAGGATGCCCCAAGGGTGGGGCTCAGGTGGGCACTGTGATCAGGGAGGGATGTCGGGGAGCCCCCAGGGCTCAAGTGGGAAGCTCTAAGGCCTGGAAGTGGTGGTCTTCACCCTCCCTGGCCTTCCTGGGCTATTCTCTCTCCCCTGGAGGAAAGAGGAAGAAGAGTGAAATGAATAGTGCAAAGTGAAAGTGAGTTTGTTTGCAGAAGAAAGGAGCGATACAAAGCCACTCAGGGAGGACCTGGGAGCCAGGAGTCGGACAGTGTTTGTGTGACCAGAGGAGACTGCGGCTTCAGACCTGAGCCAAAGTGAGCGGCACAAGGATTGCCATCCATCCTCCTGCGTGTGGGATGGGAAAGGGCAGCTGGGCTCCACTCGGGGTGGGTGGAGGAGGTCTTGAACAGTGGGCAAGTGTGCTGTGCCTGGAAGTCTGAGGCCAGCCCCAGTGGGGAGCATATATCGAAGACAGCTTTGCGGGTCCTAGATGGGCCCGAGTCCCTCCCGCCATTGAATTCACCACCTGTGGAAGGGCAGTGAGTTCATGGTGACAGCCCGGGGCAGGCTCCCAGGATGCCTGATGCCTGTCTTCCCTCTGGATACACTCCATTACCCTTTGTGATGATTAAGGTATACATGGAGGAGGAGGAGGAGGAGGAGGAGGAGGAGGAAAAGCAAAGAAATCTCTTCCCTTTACTCTATTCACTTTGTTCCCCAACTCTAATGGAATTTGGTAGCTACATGCTCCAGGCAAAATTGTTTTGGTTGCCCAAACCTGAAAGTAATGTAAAGAATGCGTTCCTTGTTTTTAGTTATTAGGGTCCTTTAGGGGGAGGTTCCCATTTTCTGAGCTTTCAGATGGATGTACGGATAAATATAAATCCATGCCAATGAAATATAACCCACCTACGAGAGGGAACCAACCGTGCCACCTTGAGTAAGAAAAGTCCAACTGAATCAGCCCAGCGTCATTCTGGTGTGGCTGAGGGGATTTACTGGGGACAGAAGACCCAGCCCAGGCCTGAGTGGTGCCAACCACACCCGAATGGGATAAAGGGAAAGCAGAAATAAGGCCGGCTTCTGTTTCTCCAGTTTCACCTCCCATTTGTCACATTGGCCCAGTTGGATGAGAACCAAATCGAATTCAGTGATTAGGTTCAATGCCTACCTTAGGGGGAAATTTGATTTGGTTCTCGTCCAATCTGCTTTGTGACCAGAATCATGGCAAGAATTAAGTTCGTGAACCGAGTTATATCAGCTTCCCACTAGACTAGCTCCAATGATACTTATATCTGCAGCATCGCTTGTGACATGCTCTGGTACTGAATTTTCTCTGCTACACTCCGATCCACACCTTGATGAAATTTTAAAATATTTGCTAATATTCCTTATTAAGATGATATTAGTAACAGTTAATTCATTACACCTTTTCATTGGATGAGAAGGTGTAGGGTTTATATTATTCCTATTAACTGGCATACCAAAAAAAAAAAAAAAACAACAACAA